ATGCTATAAATTTAAAATGGACTGTTTTGCAAATAGTATAAATGAAAGGTGATATTCCTAATTTTGAAATAAATATAATATTAAAAATATTCTTTTGGAGTAGAAAATGGAGTAATACATTGGAGTAAAACTCAACTGCATTTTGGAGTTACTCCATTTTAGAGTAGAAAATGGAGTAATACATTGGAGATGCTCTAACACTAAAATAATATCTCAAAAATAAATAATACGGATCCCACAAAAGAAATCGCGTGGGGTCAAGCTCAAAAAACAAAACCCCAAACCGTGGCTTGACAGTGAATGCGCACCGTCCAACTTAACGTGGCGCACCTCCCGAACCAAAGAGAAGCAGTTATAACCCAACTGTCAAAACTGTGTTCCATGACGTCATTTTCTTTCTTTTCGTTTTAACTAAAGCCTCTTTTGTCTTTTTCCCCAGATCGTCCCCTTTCCACGAACATAACTATTAAATAAACTGAATCATCAAATAGTTACATCACACTGTACACAATAACTACACATATTTACAAGACTAAAGTAAATAAAAGACGTGTAAGTTAAACTACATGGGATAGCTGTCGTTACCAGATACACCATATTCTCCCTTTTTAACACCTTATAAAAACAACAATTCTTCTTTCACTTTCTTATAATTAAAACACTTCACATCTGAACAAAAAAAAGAAAGAGAAATTAAGCACCTTATCGAAACTCAAGAATTCTCTGCTTTCGTTTTACTCTGATGGATCCATTTTACACTTCTTTCTCAGACTCGTTCCTCTCTATTCCCAACCACAGATCTCCAATTTCCGACAGTAGTGAGTGTTATCCGAAGAAACGAGCAGGGAGGAAGAAGTTTCGCGAGACACGTCATCCTATTAACAGAGGAGTTCGTCAAAGAAACTCAGGGAAATATGTTTGTGAAGTTAGGGAGCCTAACAAAAAAAAAGGATCTGGTTAGGGACTTTTCCGACCGTCGAAGTGGCCGCTCGTGCTCACGACGTCGCTGCTTTAGCCCTCCGTGGCCGCTACGCTTGTCTCAATTTCGCGGATTCGGCGTGGCATCTTCGGATTCCTGAGTCTAACTGTCCTAAAGAGATTCAGAAAGCTGCGACTGAAGCTGCAATGGCGTTTCAGAACGAGACGGCTACGACTACGGCGGCGGAGACAGCGGGGCAGAAAATTGGAGAAACCGCGGAGCAGAGTAGTGTGTTTTATCTGAAGGAAGAGGCGGTTTTGGGGATGCCGAGATTTTTTGAGAATATGGGAGAAGAGATATACTTGCCACCCTCAGAATTAGGATGGAATCATAACGACTTGGATGGAGAGTCTGACGTGTCACTTTGGAATCTTAGAGTTTGAATATACTATATTTTATTATTATTATTTTAGTTAAAATTTGAAGAATTTTTGCATTTCTAGAATTGGTCAAAAGTTTACCTACCTGTTTTTTATTGGTAGTACGATACGAATCTAATAGCTCGTGTATTATTCTTATATTTTCTAACCAAATTTGAGTATCAAATTGTTTTTTTTTAACTGAAAACTTTGAAGATATTTTTCTTCCATGCAATAAATAGTACCAAACAAATTCATGAAGTCTTAAAAGCTTAAAACTACACCTCTGTTTCTATAAGATATGATGATTGTAGACTCTCTATGGTCATGGAAGAACATGAGACGGCGATTGAAGGATCCAAATCCGATTGTCGATTATGTGAGGTTTTGATCAAACAACAAACGTGTAGTAAGTTCTTATATATGCTCATAGTTTGATTCAAACTCAAGCTACAAATCCTCCTTTACTTCAACACACTTGCACGCTTTTTTCTAATGAATGGTCGAGTCTACTCAAATTTCAAAACAGGAGTGCTATATGATTACCTCTGTGAGCAGAAACAAGATGTTATTTGGCATAAAGTAGTTTGGATCTCTAGAGCAATCCCGCGTCATAGTTTCCACACATGGCTAGTGATCCAGAACAGAATTCCTACTCGGGATAGACTACAAAACTGAGGACTGCAAGTTGATGGTCGGTGCCTCCTCTGTAACTCTAATCAAGACTGCAAATCATCGCTAGAAGACTGCAAATCCTCCCGCAAAGAGATTGGCAAGCTACGATAGATCAGATGCTCTCCCTCTCGATGTCGGTCCCTCAACGACTCCTCACCCTTCTCGTCTGGCAAGCAACTCTGTATTGGATCTGGTCTAAGCGAAACACCCGCCTACGTTCAAATACCTTCCGGTCAGTGGATCAGATTTTTAGACAACTTGATAGACAGATAAGGAATAAGCTCCAGAGCTTCAGAGACACTAACTCGCTCGATCTTCTCTTATGTTCCAAATTTAGATTCGACATGGGTAATATTTGCTTTGAGGGATTCCTGTATCTCTGATCATGCTCTCTTCGTGATCATCGCCTCGTCTCCTACACTACTCCGCTCCCTCACCGTTAAAGGGCTTCTACTCTCAACTAAAGGGCTTCACTACTATGGGTTTTACTATTCTGATATGTGTTTTTAGTGGATCCAAATGAAACTAGTGTTGGGGTCAAAATCGGTACGACGGAAACAACGGCCGAAACTCCCCGCAGAAATATAAAAGGAATCGTTTTTTAAAACCCAAGGATCGTTTTATAAAACTCGAGAATCGTTTTATAAAACTCGAGGATCGTTTTATAAAACTCGAGAATCGTTTTATAAAACTCAAAGAATCGTTTTATAGAACTTGAGAATCATTTTATAAAACTCGAAGAATTGCTTTATAAAACTCGAGAATCGTTTTATAAAACTCGAGAAGCCGTTTTATAAAACTCGAAGATCTTTTTATAAAACTCGAGAAGCCGTTTTATAAAACTCGAAGATCGTTTTATAAAACTCGAGAAGCCGTTTTATAAAACTCGAAGATCATTTTATAAAACTCGAGAAGCCGTTTTATAAAACTCAAAGATCGTTTTATAAAACTCGAGGATCGTTTTATAAAACTCGAGAAGCCGTTTTATAAAACTCGAAGATCTTTTTATAAAACTCGAGAAGCCGTTTTATAAAACTCGAAGATCGTTTTATAAAACTCGAGAAGCC